ATACCTAAATTGCTTTCAGAAAAGGTGTTTCAATTAGGGGACATTTTATACCAGGCCATTTCACATTCTGTGTTCTTTTATGGAGCCTATTCTGTACCATACTATCAAATCAGAAAAAGGCATCTTTTTCATCAGAACATCAAGCCTTTGAAAACAACAATGTAATAAAATCTAATTAACATCCAGATTTTAATGTTGAAGTTTTGTCACATTCTATCATGTCAGGGCAATTATGAGAGGCCTTTTTTTGTTTCTCTACCTTACTCATTACTCTTAAAGTGGTATTATTTAAAATATTGACTAATACGCTTTGCAATAGAAGTCTGAGAAACTAATAAAGCCATAGATAGAAACCACAAGGCGAGTAACAGGACACACATCAGTCTCAGAAAAGCAGTATGTATTCAAAGGAAGGAAAAGGAAAAATGTCTTTCATCCTGGTAGCTCCTCCCTCCTGCTGTCCCACTGTAGCGGTGACATCCCCTGGGTTCACAACAGCTCCCCGTGTTTTGCCGGGAATCTGCAACGTCAGATAAAGTCCCATCTGCAGGTGTGCCCCAACACAGGCTACAAGCAAAAGGCATAACTCTGCCATAGAGCCTTCCCATGGCGTAGATGTTTAATTACATCTGTTAATTAGGTCCCTGTGTTTGCTTCTCGGACAACCCAATTCAGCCTCCCTGGCCCTGGTGGCCACCCTACCTAGGAGAGGACCAGGTCAGCCTCAAAGGCTGCTGTGCCCCCAGTGCACCGCGTGAACTTCTGCCACGATGTTCTGCCTCACCTAGGCACCATCAAGGTATTTAGCCGTCTTTTACAACTACCTCATGGAAGGCTAAAATCTAATGCACTTCTTTATTCTGTTTTTATATCATTGCTTTTTCAGATTTTTATGAAGAACCTTCAGAAATAATGAAGTTACTAGAACAGGATTCCAAAATTTCAAACAGAGCTCTTATCTGGTCTCAGTTTTTGTTAGTCTCATGGAGCTCACTTTTGAGCATTACCTAATATTCATCATATTAGAAGTCAAAGCTGGGAATAATGATCACATACACAATATAAGTGTGGAAATGGAAAAAAAAAAAAAATCACATTCTGTTGTGTTCATTTATGACAAGCAACCTCACATGTTGCCTAACCTAAAGCTTTCAAAGCTACAAAGATCTCAAACCGAAACTGGAAATCTTACATGTCTTGTTTTCTCCCTGTCAGGAGAAAGTACCAGCATTTAAATTGCTACTGTTTTGTTTCAAGAGACAAGTGAGTTTCTGCTTATCTGCAGAAATTATTAACTGCTAATTTCTTATCTTATTTCTTTTTTTTCCTTGCCTCCACCTCCCACCCATTTTTATTTCCTTTTTTTGGCAGGAAAATACTTGTAATATAGATGGACTTTGCTATGGTGAAGGAGAGTCAAGCCCTACCAGTCCTTGTCTTCTTTGTGAACCTGACATTTCTAAGTTCACCTGGTCTATTAATGAAAGTAAGACAGTTTTTCTTCTAAGATTTAGAAGCACTTATCTGAGAATTTATGATTCCGGCTATGAAATACATCGTTCCCTCATTTGGCTAACATGAATCTATCCTGCATAGTGTGCATGGATAGTCTGCAGTGGGAATAATTGGGTGCACCAGAAATGCAGACTGACCAGAAACAGACAGTACTCCACTGTATGTACTATGCATCTGGACACGTATCTTGTTCTGGCTAAAACCTGACAAATCTCGAATTAATAAAACCGAAATAACACCTGAAAATGAAATTTTGATATGCCAGTGCCCCATGCAGTGCCTAAGTCTGTCAGCTAAAGGTGATGGACCCTAAGTACCTCTGTCATCATCTCACAGGTACAAATCTTTAAGGGAACAATTTGGGGAAAATACTGTTTTTAAAACACTAGTGTATATTTTTGGTATCTGGAAGAATTGTTTCCTTTCCCTGAGCCAAATGCTATGAAACACCATGCAAAAGACCTTGGCTTGGCAAGGAGTCTAAGTGATAGGGATCAGCCACTCATTACCTTCACTGCCACAGAACCTAAAGGCTCATTCTGCAGCCCGTCTCGGCAGCGGTCATGGAGAAGGCTGCCTTTTGAAGCACCTCCTGAATGACTTTATCATAGCTTTTTCATGGCTGTATCCCCAGTGTAAATAAGAACCCCTACTTACCGCATGCTTTACAGATAATCCATGCTTCTAGCAGCATTATCCTCCCAGCGCATCTCCCCACTTACATGAGCACATTTGCATCTGGTCAATATAAAGATTATATTACTGCTTTTATGTAGATTCATGTGTTGGTTCTAGAAAGAGTTTCTCTGCACTTTTAGGTTCTGTAAACACAAGTAAATTACAGAAAGGTATGTATGTGAGTGGCAGGACCAGTTTGCTCTGTTTGTTTGCAGTTTTATATTCCTTTAGGGTGACTAGGTCAGCAGGACCCTTCTGGAAGGAGAGGAAGATTGCTCTTGTTCTTGGGGAACAGCTGGGGATGCTCAGGGACAGACGCTCCTAGAGAGTGCAAGGTACGGCAGCAGAAACGGCGAGAGCTTTATCACAGTGGCTGGAGTCCATAGCTCCAGCGGAGACGCTGCCGAGGAGAGCAGTGAGCAGACACGCTCTTCTCAGAGGTGACAGAAAGGCCCTTGAGAAGGACCAGAAACGACCCAACAGTTGCCAGCAACACAAGAAGTCATAAGTTGTCTCAAATAAGTTTTGGAAGCAAGAACACAATAGGAAGGGAGAGAGTTGTTCGTGAGTCTCTCTAATTCCTGATCCAGGATAGCCACTTTGAATTTTCTCTATTTAAAAACATACACCTCTAGTATATGTCCTAAAAAATCCAGCTTTTGGCATTTAAAACTCGCTGTCAGGAAAAGGTGTAGGCAAACCCATCCCAAGTGTTGGCCAACTAAAAATCCCATTGGATGTGACTTGGATGAGTAGTTAAAATGTCTACAGGTAAGCCAGACCTGAAGAGAGCTTGTACACCTAAAAGCTGTGGTTTTTTCCCCAGGAATAGTTTAGTCTAATGAGAGATATCTGTGACTCACAAACCTTGCCTTCTTTCTGTCCTTCTGTTGTGTTGGCCACAGCAGTAGCATCTCTAGGGACGAGCTGATCCTGATTGTTATATAGATGGACTCATTACTAATACCGAGGCAGTTCGATTTTAAAATTCACAAAACATCTAAAAAGGGAAAAAATGCATTTGTTTTGGAATTTATAAAGCTAGAAATGATTTGGGAAATCTGAAACAGATCATGGTTCACTTTTCAATAATTTCAAAATTTAAAAATTTAAAAATATTGAAAAGAAAGGGTTTGTCAGATTTGTTTTCAAAATTATGAAAACCTTTTTAAAAGTTCTGCTATAACTCAGAGTGTATATATCTATATATTCACTGGATAGCAGGGAGATCTCTGTGGAATTAGAAACAGTCTTATTCACAGACTACTTTCAGAATATCTGATGTTATGTTATTTTGTGCCTACAACTTCTCGTTACCCTCCATCCAGTTAACACCTTTGTGTTTATCTGTAAATGCATACCCAGCATCAATATTTCATTGATTACTTTGGGCACAACTTTTATGGGCTCCATGGTTTAAGTGTTTGGGAAATAAAAGGTAAATTAATAGATGGAAGATTTCAGCAGTTATGCCAAGACAATATGCTGGACAAGCAGTTTAGAAAGCTCTGATAGCACAGCAGCAATGAGTAGAGAGACACATTTAAATAATTGCATAATGTGAGACATGCTATGGAAAGTAAAGCTTGATAAAAGGATATGCACCACAAAAAACCCCTAATGATGACTTCCCACAGGCATAACACAAGGACACATGCAGTACTTACAAGAACACGTATATAGTTCATAGTTTGAGAGCATGACTTGAAATTAATCCTCGGTATTAGAAATGTATTTTAAGTTAAATAAAACTGTGGTCAAATTACATTGTGAGAAGACTCCTTTAAGTATCAATACATGTCAATTTGTAGTTTTGGTTAAAGAGGAAAGATGGCTTGAGACTGAGGAGTCTTAGGACATGGAGATGAAATTCTCAGCCCTGCACAGAGCTGCTGTCACCTCAGGGTACTCATCTGATCTTACTTTTCCTTGATTTCTAATTATAAGATGTAATACTTTTCTCTACCTTGTCCTCTTTACCTATTTATATTGTAAGTATCTTTAGGTAGTGTTTGTCTTCTACTGTAAAATAGCCTTCTACAGTTACGCTTTTATCTTCATTAAGGAAATACTGAATGTAAACACCACCACTAGAAATAGCAATGCCAATGGTGACATGATATGAGCTACTGTCACTGGTGACAGACAATCTCAGCAGCACTGATGTACCTCTGCCGGCACTGAGAAGACCTTTATTCCTGATGAAATGTCCAACTGAATTCAGTCAAACTGCTCAGACTTAATTACTACTCACGTGTAAAGGCAGGAAAGTCTACTCAATGGAAGAGTTACCCAATTCTCACCCCCTCCCTCCCCCCACCCCAAGTTGCCCACCCAATTCATTTGTCATTCATAATTTTGAGATTCAGTTTACTTAAACGTACAGATAGATATATAGATAGAGGGGTAGATAGAATAAATATATATATATGTAAGTGTTAGAAATACAATTAATTAAAGTTTTAGTAAGAATTGGGGGACTAGTGGGAGGTTATAGAAGTCGTGTCTGATCTCCTCTAATGTATCAGATAACACATTCAAAGTAATCAAAAGTCAGTATGGGAAAAAAGTTCAGTATGGGGCATGAAAAAAATAGGAGGAAAAAGGTGTACTTTTTGGTAAAGCTATTTGCTGCCTCTAACATCTAAATTGCTTCCTCTGTCAGTCTCAGGGTACGTTCTGTACGTTTTTTTTTGAGAGCACTCCTACAAAGACCCACCCTGTGAATCTTTACACAGGAGAAACTGGAATTTATGTAATCGTGGTTTCATTTTTGCTGTTTAGACAACCTGCCTCCTGTGTTCCAGGCCCCCTCCAGCCAGCCGCTGACATTTATTGGTGAGAATTTTGTTTACCAGTTAGTAGCTGTGGATCCGGAAGGGTCAGCTGTGCTATTCATCTTAGAGGCTGGGCCACAGGATGCCAGGCTCTCTCCTGCTGGCCTTCTTATCTGGAAAGTTGATTCAGAAGAAATGCAGACCTTTGAATTCACTGTGTCGGATGAATGCAATGCACAGAGCAGATACTCTATTGAGGTAAGGAAATGAACACTTTAAAGGAAAAACAAAACAAACCTGTTTATCATGTCACTGCTTTGGTGCAATTGTCATTATAGCTAATAATTTGTTACTGTCTTGAAAACTAAGACTTCAGCTATTTCCTCATAAGTGTATATTATCCAGCACAGCAAAAGTGATCAATTCATGGAATAAATATCTCTGAGAACATAGAAACTATATATACAAGGAACAAGAGAGAGTGCTATTGATTGCTGTTTGAAAGAACACTCTTGCAGAGCCTTTTAATGGTTCATTAATCTGCTTTAAAATTCACATTCTGCATTTGGATTGCTGAAAAAAGCATATAACATAAAAGACCAAGTTTTAGCTATAAAAGGGAGATTATAACTCATTCTCAATGATATTTTTAGAGGATGTCTTGCTCTTATGTCATTACTCTACACTTTAAGTTTCTTGGCAGAGCTCGTGCATTGCTTTGTCTTTATTGTATACTCTAACATTAATCCTGTGACAGGATGAGCTAATAAAGTGGGATGCAGACTTTTGACATAAGAACAGTTTTGTGAAGAAAAGATTTTTATTCGGAAAGATTCCTATATCTTTACTCATTCAAACCACTATCATCAAAAATACCGGTCTGCTGAACCCACACAGCAAAGGGGAAACTGGAGTCTAGATATGGTTTTGATGGAAACATTTCAAACTAGACCTATGTTTAACTAGGTGAGATAATACAGAGGTTTGAATCTGTTGAAATGCTGTTCTTGTACATAGGTAAAATACAACTATGGACCTCTCTTCCCTGAAGAGAGAGACCGGCTGAGGAATGCCACAATCATGTTCCTGCCTGGGAGCCATTTGTAATGTGAAACAGTAAGGAGGGCAGGCAGGAAAAGAGAAAAGATTTTTCATTTCTTCTCTGAAGAATAAGGAACAAATTCTGCCCTCAGATACTATGTAAAAACTGCTGTTATAGGAAATAGGATTTTTTTTCTTATAAGAAGTTAGAATGTGTCCCTAAATGATGAAAAAAAAAAAAATCCTTTTAAAGTCAGGCTTCCAGTTAAATAAATAAGTATGCCAAGTATGAGACCATCTATCTAGACAAAGGAAATCAGTTAGAAATAAGTTTTCATACTAGATAACATGTTTGCACTGCAAACCTGTCCCTTCCTAAGGGTAACAATATACCTCTCAGCTGTGATTATTCAGAGGAATCTTACTATGACTCCCATTTGCCTTCCTCAGGTTGGAGTGAAGCCCTGCAGCTGCCTCAATGGTGGAACATGTGTTACCAATATTAAATTCCCTCCAGGCCTTGGTGAATACCTGTGCTTATGTCCAAATGGATTTGATGGAGAATTTTGCCAGGAAGATATTAATGAGTGCAAATCAAACCCCTGCGGCAGCGGAACGTGCGTGGACAGTGTGGATAGCTACTTTTGTAAATGTCCCCCTGGTTTGGGAGGTAACACCTCACTGTTTCCATCTCTGATTTAACTAGAGATATATTGCGCTACAGGATTTTTTGAGTGCAGCATGACCACAAGCATCTGTCAAGTGAACTACATAAGCCGCCTCTTCTGCTCCCATGACTTAGCTTTAGGCAGATAGAAAATGTGCAAAACCAGCTATCTAATTACCCACGCTCAAGGAAGGAAAAATTACCTAAAGCTCTGTGGTCCTGAAATGATCACTCAAGGAGGCTGTGAACCTCCCTGATGTCAGTTCCCACCTGCTTATTTCCCATGGATTTGTCCATCCATGAGATGAGCTAAGATAAGACTGAGTGGAAGCAAGAAAAGGCAAAGATCCAGGACCCTTTTGCACTCCACGGGATTTGACTAAATTAAGCCAACAAAAGAACTAGGAATTAATGATTTTTCTAGGTCTAGGAAGGAGAAGTAGATATGGAAAACAGGCAAAAATAAATTGTCCTTTAGTCCCACCTGACGCTTCATTAAATTTAAACATTAGAAAACCACAAGCCCATTTGGTTGTCAGACATGCTGATGGAACAAAATCTAACCTTTTAAACTGTTCAGGGCTGGCCACAATATGATTTCAAGAGATGAAAGGAAGAGGAATGATCACTGCACCAAAGAAAGATTCTTTTAGAAAAGCAGAATGAAAAGCACAAAGAGGAAGAGTTGGAGAACAAAATGCAGTGAGGCCAAAGAGGTGGATGCAAGACATACATAGGATGAATGAATAGGATTGGAGTAAAGATCTGAAATGTGAGGAGAGAGAGAAGCATCTAACAGATAACATAGATGAGGAGAGAACGTGTGTGTACCTATCATGCAATTTATAGTCAGCTTCACTGCACTGGGGACATCTGTGAATGATTCAGACACGTGAAAAAGCACTTGTGACAGCACGCAGGCGACTCCCCTGTGCTCTGCAGATTGGAACCGGCAGAGCCAGCCGTGAGACTCGCTGCTGTATTAAGCTTCTGGAGTTTGGCTGAGCTGAGTCACTGCTGGGTCTCGCAGAGTGCCTACCACCTCCTCCAAGCTGGGACCCACGCTCCAGCTGCTCCTAACACCACTCGCTTCCAACATAACACATTTTCACATTGGCCTAAACATGCCTTCTCCTGGAGTTTCATGGAAGTTGTTGTCTTTTCATTTCTAGTTTAGTTCTTCAGGAGGTACAAGGCAAATCTGAACATGCAGGACTTGAATATGATTTCTAAGCCTGGCTCTTGCTTAGCTTTGGAAAGGGCCAGTTAGAATAACACCCACTCACCCAGGTCACTGTGCAGTCACTGGAAAGTCAAGACATCGTGTTACTGTCCATTCTTGTCAGAGTCAAATTAGCCTCCCACAAGCAAAAGATGCTAACTGAAAGTGTGTTAGAACATCTCAGATCAGAACCGTTTCAAAAGCAGAGTAAGAAAAAAAACCACCTTAAGCTGATCTCAGATTTCAGTCCCTGAACCTGTCAAAAACCCTACTCTGTTCACATATGGAAGCATGAATGAATTCATAAGACCCATAATGTTGGCTGCTGCGCAGTGCCATAGGTTTGAAAAATCAAGTAGAAATAACATCAAATGCACATAACTATTACTGCTTATAGTGTGTATATATAGAAGAAACTCAGTTTTAAACAAGAGCAATGAACAGATTTTACCCAATGGGCTCATGCAGGCAGCAAGGTACCCTTTCTGCCTTTCAGCAGTTCATGAAACCTTCTTTGTTTTGGTCATGTGGGACTGCAAGTCCAGATTTCATTAACTATGAAATTCCAGCAGAAATGAAAAATAAAAATAATTCAGAAGTGGAAGTTCAGAAAAATGACCTAGAAGATCTGTGACACCTAGATGGTATTGACTCCAGGTAATGCTATCAAATAGCCAAAGCCTGCTGCTATCCAAAGTGTTTGTGCCACCAGAGACTGCACTGATGCAAGAACACACAAGCCTAAGCGTGGAGAATAAAGTTAGAAAGTGAAAGTCTGATCAAAAGATAAAAATCCCCAAACCAAACAAATGCAGAATGTCTTAACTCCCCCTGGAAATAACATTCCTATGAGCACAGGGAAATTTGGGGACCTTTTAGGCTGTATTTGGTTAAACACTGGAGATACACAATGAGAACAATTATTCATTGCCTGTAAGGAGGTGGATTAAATGAATCAAAAGCGATATAGTTCCATGAGTTAATAACTTCAGTGGATCTGCTCCTGTTTGATCTTCACCAGTTTCACACTGCTGCCCTTCTCACTCTATGCGCTATTGCACATAGATGGAGTGAAATCAAGCTCTATTATTCCACATAAAATAGTCTGCCATAATTACAATGCATTGTTTATAAATTCACACGGAGCATATTCTGAAATGCGCTTCTTATTCCTGCACAAAGAATTAAATATCCAACACTTCAAAATAACACACTTGAAAGCAAGATACAGCTGACTGTAGAGACAAAGGCACAGGACACCTTGATGGCCAGAGAAACAGTAGGTTTTCCTGAACCCTTAATTCTTGCAGATTAAATAAAAATGCATTAGTTTTGCTGTTCTTCCCTGGCTCAAAATGCTAAAACACAAGCAACAACAGAAAAAAAAAAAAAAAGATATGATTGAGTGAAATAGGAATACATCTCAAAGTTTTAATAGCAGGTGAAAAATTATAAGCAAGTGGAACTGAAAGCCAGCTGGGAAGTAGATGATTTTACTTCAGGGCAGGTTCTATGACAACAATAAAAGCTCATCCTTGATGCTGTGTTTATGTCTCAATTCCCCAGAAAACCATCAATAATCTAATGAGAAGGCAATGCTATACTGCTCAAGTGACAGCACCACTTCATCGTCAAATCTTTACAAATGATAGTGAACAGGTAGTAGAAACAAAAAGTTAACTCTTTTGAGAGCTTCCCAAACACCACTGCAAGAGAAGCAGCAACACAGGGAACAGAGTGTGGTGCTAAGTGGCAGCAATTCAGGTGCATTGGTGTATCTCAGGCAATGTAAGGGTATAACGTAGGAATGGGAAGAAGGCAGGGAGAGAAGCCACTGGAAAATCTGAGAGAAGGATGAATCAGAATTATTACTACTTTAAATTTCTGCAGAGACTTATACGCATTTATCTCATTGAGTGTTCAAAGCTCATTCATTTTTCTTCGACATTGTTGACAAGATAACAAGAATTCCTGTTGTTTCTTCTTTTGGCTACTGAAAGCAAGAACATCACCTACCTGAGAACAGAACTCACACTTGAAAACTGTATCTCAATCTCAGAACTATTCTTTCTTTCCCCATATACCAGTGACTAATTCAAAACTGGGAGGTGGGGAGGAAGATGGAACTGTAATTTCATTTTACTTTTCAGGAAACTGAAGAAAACCTCAAGATTTGTTCACGGTTTGTAATAACCATAGAGTTCCTAAATCAGATTGCCTGTTCCTTTAGAGTCAACTTAATGTGAACACAGTCAAAAAGTCTTTCTCTGCATCTGTAGGTAGTCAGCTCCTCTCAAGGCATAAAAGGACTTTATCTCCTCAGCCAATTTGCCATGCAGGGATGGAGAAATAGAGCTGGCACAGAAACAGATGTTTCAACCTTGCAACCTGAAGATCTTTTATTCCTATTATTTTTATTTGTACTGTAACAGTGCCAAGAGGATTGAGACTCCCTCTTGTTGCAGTGCACTGGAGGTCGTGCAAACAGAATAATTGATGCTTCTTGGTGCAGACAGCTTTCTGTCCATTTCTGCTGCTTCTTCAGCAACCTTCAGCCAAGTTTCAGACTTTGCAAACATTTGTCCTTGGACTCTGCTGGATTATCATTATGTCCAAATTGATCAGATACTGTTTAAAATCAAATGTCTCTGAGTGAAAAGAAGTGCCTGCATAGTTCACCTTTATGTTACAAAAATCAGTCAAGTGACTGAATTTTAAAATTTAGCTTGTTACTTATGGCGTTCCTTTGCTTTTTGTAATTCTCACATCTTTGAGATTTTAAAGCCAGCCCTTTGCAGCAAAAATAGAGTATGTAGGAGGGAGGAGAGGGGACTGAGGGAAAAGTGGCTGTTGTTACTGAAACTGGGAACTTCTTTCCTACTTTCATTGTCTATGGTATCATTTTAGTCTTTATATGATACTCAGAGAAAGGAAATAGTTACTAATCTAATCAGAGGGTAACTCGTTCAATATTTTCCATAATGTGATGTCTAATAACTTCCCAACGCATCACCAGAAAGCAGTATCAGAGAAAAGCAGCCTTATGCTACATATGTGCTAAAACAATCATACAATAGAAATAGGAATCCAAAATAAACAGGGGAGAGAAAAAAGTAAGTTAAGCCCTGCAATACTATGTGATGTCCAACTTAAATGAAAGAAGCAAGAAGCATGCAA